GGGTGGCAACGGCTCTAGGAGAAATTAACTCAAAATTAATTAATTCACAAGCTGATCTGAAGCCGGCTCTCTTGCCCAGGAAACACCACTTCTACTGCGGCTGTACTAGATGTGGCGACGCTATTATTGTATCGAAAAACTTTTTACAAACTAAAAATATTTTATGGCTTTAAATAACCTGCAATGGTTTAATTCGGAGAAAACGAATCAATATTCTTTAGTATAAATTAAAATAATTAAAATATTAACTATATTTTATTAGTAAGCAATTTCTAAAGAATTAATCAATTTTGTTTTTTAATCCGACATATTTTTTAATTCGACATTTTTTTTTTAATCCAACCTATTTCTATTACTTCAAACGATATTTTTCGTGGATACCCGAATTTAAGTAGATGCCCTGTTTTCTTTTTCTTTTCTTTTTTTAAGCTTAATAATTCGCTCTTCTTTCCGGTAAACATAATATGCACTGTTTTAAAAAATAAATGGGCGTTTCTTCAATTTACTGAACTGATTGTAAAGATAAGATATACTTTTCCGGTTTGGAAACATTTTCCATGATGTCAAAATTATAAATCTCTCGGGCTCAAGCCTCAAGTTCTCACTGCGTAAATCGTACTTCTTAAGCCGCCAGGGTACCATAGCTTCTGACACATCAGTTGAGGCAGTAAGCCAAATTTGTCTCAGAATGTTTCGACTATATAAACATTGAATATCATCCAAACTTTAAGGATTAAAAAAAAAAATTGAAAGCCGTTTGTTTTCACAAGACAAGTGCAAAGTTAGAAAATAAATACAATCTCTCGTGCAGCTTTTATTCGCAAAGAATGGGCAAAAAGGAAAAACGAAAAGAAAAGAAAACTTATCATTACATAAATTTATACACGAGCCTTCGAAACAGATGTGATGTCACCCGGCGAGTGGATACGCGGCGCAGTTATACAATCTCACTAAATGGACTTCCATCTTTTTGCAAAGTTGAGCTGATCTTCGTATCTCTTTGGAAGATTAACTATCGATTACTCTTGTCTGGATCAATACGAGCTTATTTTTTTATGGCTCTTCTTCTTTTTACATATAAATATAAAAGCTTTCTGTTTGTTTTTTTGCCAATATGTCTAGAGCAGATGTAGGCAAACTACGACCCGAGGACCGCCGTTAGTAAATTTAAAAGAGAAAGTTACCAAGCAACGCCAAATAATTGTTACAGGCAATTTGACGCCTAATTTTAACAAACTGGTTAATGGCTGCAGTCAGATACATTATTCTCATTAAATCATTGAGATCCTTCTTCTGTTGAGTTACTTTGTCTTTCAAATAAATCTGTTTCATGTGAAGTTACAACTTCAAAATATTCAATTTTTTTTTCTTTAAATTGAATTACAGAGGATCATCAGTTCTCGAACGTCTCACATGTCGAATAAATCTATTATCGAATAAAATTTCGGTTCTCGAACAACATAGACGAACCGAGTTAATACGAATGGAATCATTTCTGAGTTATATACATTATTGTATTGTGCGTTGTACAGTGCTTTTCTTTTCCAATTTTATTGTATTGTGACTTTTTTTTCTCTACATTGATTCCTATTGAAAAAAAATAATTTCGGGTTACGAACATTTCGGGTTACGAACGGCCTTAAGGAACGAATTAAATTCGTGAACCGAAGTTCCACTGTATTTTGTTATTCAAACAAATCTGTTTCTTATAAAGTTTCTACTTTAAAATCTAAATTATTTTTTTTTTTAAATTTAGTTACTTTATATATTTTTTATATGAAGTTTCTACTTTAAAATATTAGTAAGAATTGTTTTTTATTTCTTTACGCAGATTTAATTTGTTTTTCAAAGAAATATGTTTCCTTCTTTATAATATTAATTAATAAAAATATTTTTTTCGTAAAACAATGTTATTTTGTCTTTCAAATGTGTTTTATGTAAATCTTCAACTTAAAAATACTTATTAATATTTTTTCTTTAAAGTTCTTTTAACTGAGTTACTTTGTCTTTCAAATAAATGCGTTTCATGTGAATCTTGTACAGAACTTTAAAATATTAATTAATAAAAATTAATTGCATTTTTTTCTTTAAAAGCCTTTTTTGTCTATTTCATACTATGCGGCCCAATAAAATTGTGAATTTTTTGATGTGGCCCTTGCACTGAAAAGTGTGCCAACCCCTGGTCTAGAGGGACGCTGATATACGAACTAGCCTAACAGATCCTTCCTACTTATGTACTGGTCGTGGCCGGTAATAAAATCACAGAAAAAAGTCACAATTTTGGCTACGAAAAAGTCACAAGAAAAGCAGTTACAATTAATTTATGATAGACGGTAATCTATTTCGGGTACTTCATGAGGAGGGACGGTGGAGTAATGGATAGCGAAATTGGATTGAGAAATCGGAGAGCCGAGTTCGAATTCCAGTCGAATCCATTACATTTACTTGGGAAAGGTGTGAATCCTTTTCATCTCCCTCCAGCTATGGGTAAATCGCAGAACAGCCTTGGATAGCAAAAACGTGCGGAGGAATGAATGGAGTCTCTATCTCTAGCGAAGCATCAAGAATTCAGCTATTTGACAAGATTATGAACTACACCAATCAAAGTATTAGCTATGACAGATAAGGAATACTGGAAAGGTGTAGTGAGTTCAATCTCGGCTGAGGGCGCAAGATGATGATGACTTCACGAGTTTATAGGTCCGCTCTGTTTGAAACGGAAATTCATAGTAAATCGATTCAACTTTAAAAAAAATAAATTTAAATGCTATGGTCACAAATTCGATATATTTTATAGTTAGGAGGTCCTAGTATTCCATAAGATCCAACTTTATGTGAAGAATGTCTTAAGAGAGTTTTTTCAAGTTTGTACTCAGACGTAAGCAAACTACGGAGATCGTATACGAAAATAGATTAAAAACCATAAAAAAACTTTTTTATTTATTTTATAGTATTATTTTTATTTATTTTTATAGTACTATTTTTTATTTATTTCTATAGTATTATTTTTTATTTATTTTTGTAGTATTATATTTTATTTATTGTTATTTACCCTTTAATTATTTTTCTATGTAATTTTACATTTCTTTTTATTATATAAAATTTGATACCTTCTTCTATCCTTATTATTCTACAATTTACAAAATTTGCTGGCTGCTATACAGTCCTTCAGAATTTCACTGTCAATTTCTTCCTTCTCTTCTTCCATCGCCATTCACTGTCTTGCCCCCAAATGAATTTTTCTTGGTCAAATATGAAGGATGATCAAACACTGATCAAGGTTCATTCCCATGAAATGATCTGAAATCGATTTTCCTTCATCGAGATCTTTTCTCAGCCTCCGACAGAAGTAATAAAGAGCTGAGTAAACTGCAAAAACACTTGTGGGATTTTACAACATCGTGCAAAAGATGACACGAGAAATTTTGTATCAGGCCATCCCATAAGTTCTGTCCGAATTTTGAATAGAGAAAACTAGTGACCAAATGTTACATTTAATTACGGATTCAATCAACAATGTATTTATTTTCCCTGATTATCTATGACTTCCTTCCATCTATTAACAAGCTTACTAATTTCATTACTGTAAAATTCTTTTGGCTTTGATTCAAAGAACTTACAAATGTCAGTTTTAACCTCTTCCTGTGTTACAAAAACTGTTTCTTCCAAATGATTCTGTAAGCTACGAAACAAATGGTACTCTGAAGGAGCAAAATCGGGAGAATAAGGTGGATGAGGAATTTTCTCCCATCCAAGTTCTTCGATCTTTTGTGACGGGTCGCGCATTGTCCTGATAAAACATCACCTCTTTTTGATTCACTAGAGCAGGTCTTTTTTCCTCAAAGCTTGGTTCAAACACTCTAATTGCTGACAGTATATTTGAGCATTAGTTGTTGCATTAGGTGGTAAGAATTCAAAGTGGATTATTTCTTGGCGATCCCACCAGATTGAAAGAAGAAACTTTTGCCCATGAAGTTCCCTTCTCGGCTGTGGCTAGGGTCCTTCCCCTTTACCAAGCCACTGTCTACGACGCTTAACATTTCGATAAAAGATCCATTTTTCGTCGCCAGTCACAAGTCTATCCAAAAAGGTGAAACAAGTTGTCGAGAATGGAGAGAAGAGCAGATGTCAACTCGATTTGAGGTTGTTTTCAGACAATTCATGAGTCACCCATTTTCCAAGTTTAGGAACTTTTCCAAGTTGTTGAAGATGACGATGAACAGTTGTATGGTTTGAACTGAGAACCACTGCCAATTCCTCAACTGATAAAGCAGGATTTTCTTCAAGGTCTGCTTCATGAAGCTTTTCATCAAACTCAACTGGACCGGTTCGATCTTCATCTTCAAGGGTGAAATCTCCACCTCTGAATTTTGCAAACCATCTTCTGCAAGTTCTTTCATTCACACATTCCTCTCCATAAACTGAGTGAATGTTTCTAGCCGCTTCGGCTGCTGAGTTTCCTTTCTTGAACTCATAAAGTATTATGTGTCTCAAATGATTCTTGGGTACTTCCATGTTAGCAAGCTGAGTTCAAGATTGGCTCTGGTATGTTGCGTTTACTTTCACACTAATTCTGTTTCTAAAGGCATGAAACCACTTCTTCTCTCACCTTCAGCTATAAATTTAATTTGACTGGGCTCCCTAGCCTTGGGTAGCATCTAGTCTAGAAGAAGAATCATATGTGTGTACTGGAACTATATCGAACAATACAACAGATAGACTCGAACCCTGAACTGCAACAGTTCTTTTGACTGGTTGATTTTTTTACATCTTATCAACCCTTTGCTCGTTATTTAAAGCCAAAAATATTTTTAGATTGTAAGAATTTTTTTTAGATAATAATGGTTTGGGAATATAAGTCTTATTAATTAACCCATAGTTGGGGGAGAAGGAGGGTGTTTGCGCCTAAGTGAATATAGCGAACCCAACGGGAACTGGGAATCGGGTCTCCAATTAACAATTCCGAGCTATAATCCATTACACCATCCATGCATCTAAGTTTACAGCACTTGAACTTCCCAAGCGGTCACCCATCTGACCAGGATCGAAGTTGCTTAACTTCGATGATCGTACTGGAACTGGTGTTTCAACGTAATATGGCCGTTATCCATTACACCAAGCTTACAACACCTTGTCTTCCCAAGCGCTCACCCATCTAGGTACTGACCAGGCTCGACGTTGCTTAACTTTGATGATCGATATGGCCGTTATTCATTACACCGACAGCCCATACAAGCTTAAAGCAGCTGGTCTTCCCAAGCGGTCACCCATCTAGCTACTAACCAGGCCTGACGTTGTTTAACTTGTAGTGATTGTACGGGAACCGGTGTTTCATCGTATACGGCCGCAAGTTTGCAGCAGTTCTGTTGATATGAACACGCCATATAAAATAAAAAAAGAAATAAAATGGTGGAAAAGAGAGAATTTAAAAAAAAGAAAGAGATGATGAAAATAGCGTTAATGAGATTGTTGGTCTGGAATTAAACTCTTTATGGAACACCCGAGATATTGGAAACGACGTTCCCTGAGCAGGGCGTATGACAGTACAAGTTGAAGTCTACAGAATTTTGACAGCGACAAGACATTGGTACAATTAAACAATGAATCACACTATAATCTCTTTCGGGGGAATGATAAAAGCAACCGGACATACAATGGTAGTAGTGGCTGGTGCTGTAGACACAGAAACAAAATAATGAGAGCCGGGCTTGATACAGGCAGATTCAGTGTATCACCACAGATATTTTCAATTATATATATATATATATATATATATATATATATATATATATATATATATATATATATGCTTGTCTGAATTGATACATAGCATAAGTTATTTTTTATGCTTACAAAACTTGATTTAAAAATTTGCGTTGGAAAATAAAAATCTAAATATTTTTTTTAAAAAATAGGATTTTTTAATCATTTCAACCACAAGCAAGGCAATAAAGCCACTAAGACACAAAGTTTTACTGACTGTGTAAGAATAAGAAAAAAAAATGGAAACATTATTAAGGAGCGAGAACAATAGAAGAAGAGGAATTAAGAAGACAGTTGATAGCCATTGACATTGCATTTGAATTTTTGATGATCAGAGTTGGTTGGAAAGCATTGGAACCGGAAGAGAGTTCCACAAGCGAGAAGTGCGAGAAAAGAAACTGTTAACATAGAATTTACGGTTACATCTAGCATGTGAATTGGTGAGACTTTTCCGCCAATCTAATACTGCACTTAAATTCGTTAAATCTAGGTACCACAGCGAAGAGCTCATCCAGTCAATTACCATGAAAGTATTCAAAGCAAATTACGCCGGCGGGAAAGTGCCGTATTTTCCGGCTTACAAGACGTTGCGGCTTGGAAGACGCACCCTAATATTGGAAAGAAATTTCTAAGAAATAAAAATCATTCTCATACAACACATTCATCACATACTCACATACTGGCGCCACGTATTGTTTACTTTAATCACTCGTCCGATTTTGTTTGTATGGCAATGACATACTAGTCAAGATCAGAAAGGCTACCGCCGCTGATAGTAAACAGCTTTGTAGCTCGGCTCCAGGAAGCTTTATAGTCTTGGAAATACTTGTAACAGCTATGTACTGAGGTTACATTATCTAAAAGGCTGAATTAGATAGATAGCTAACATTATAGTGTAATGACTCAACATACAAACCCACGTCCCTATCAGTCAAGCTAATTAGGTGAATGTCCAAGCTTACTTGCCTTATATTCGTTTTTCAGGGAATGCTTTAGGGAAAAGAGTGCATCTTGTAAGCCGGGAACTGAAGTCGAGACGCCAGGCCAGGGCCACTAATATTCTGATCATCTGATTTTTCTTTAGATTTTATCAAGTTTACCTAAATATGTAACGGGAGCGTGGGGCCATATGTAGCAACAATATTTAAAATATGGACGAATGGTAGACTTTTGATGATATTCATGTTTTCTATGAGAAGAAGTTACTTTTTTTAATGGGTTTTTATCTTAATTTCTTTCAACCGACTGTTTTCGTCCTTCGATGCCACACGCTTACTTCAAAGTCCATTTCTCCTTTCCTCCATCATTGGCGCTACAGAATCACAAAGAACTGTGCCAGATAACAGAAAGCACATCACTTGAGGACTTTCAATATATATATATATATATATATATATATATATATATATATATATGAAAAAAAATTCTCAGAGTTAACCTGTAGACAAAGACAGTATGTTTAAAGGTAAAAGACAAAAGGAAAACTGTATTATTAGCCGGCGCGTTTCGTCCAATGTGGACATTTTCAAGGCAAAAACGAAATGAATTTATTGAAAACAAAGTAACTATTAACAACTAACAAAATGTCCTTAGCATCTAGAAGAATTTATAGAACGCTATTGTATTCATATTGTCAACTGAAAATTACGTCAAGTACTTTCATGTGTAGAAATATTGTTTTTATATTTGTGTTGATTGATTCAATCATTTTCTTTTGATTTCTTGATATAGTTGTATACGTTTGTTTGGGAGAGTAGTAATTCTGTTAGGAAAGGGGATATTGAGGGGAAAAAAACCGGGCGTAGATTAATATTTGGATAATATTCAATAGCGGCACTTTCGAGGATTTTCCTTCTGAGTGAGTTATTTTTCTTTTTTTTATGAGTGTAGAATTATTAAAATCAAAATTATGGTTGAGTTTATTTCTATGTATGACTAGTGCATTAGTTAAGTTGTTTTTTGTGAGGTCTCTTTTGTATTCATAGATGCGTTTTTTTTTTTTTTTTTTTTTTTTTTTTTTAAATTTTTTCTTGTTTCTCTAATATATTGAGAGGAACAGTTTTGGCAATTTATTTTATAAATGCCTGCTTCAGAAATATTATTGCTATTAGTGTTTGAGGATCTGATTATATCCATAGTAGTTTTGGAAGTGTTTGTGATTATTTTAAGATTATTTAGATGGGATAGGTTGTTTCTTCATAGTGGACGTGACGGAGTTGGTTGGTGGTATTATGCATCTGTTTTCATGTAATTTATTATTACGGATTATGTTATTGTTATTGTTTCAATTGTATATTTCATATGTTTTTCTTCTTGCGTTGTGGATGAAATGATATGGGTATTGTAGGTTTTTGAATGTTTTCTATGTATGTTTCTTTTTAGCTAAATATTAAGGACTGCTCTCTGAGAACATTAAGAATCTGCAGTCACTTCTAAACTTTGCCTAAAGAGGTAGGACCTACAAGCCAGCAGGTGGTTTGAATTTTTCTTCTCCTAGACTGTTTGCCAACAAAGTTTATAGAACTCAGCCAGTTCTGCTATTTTACCCACAGATGGGGGGAGAGGTGGATTCATATCTTTCCTAAGATTATTAGCATGTAAGTGAATGTAATGAAATCAACTAGAATTCAAACTCAGATTTCCAATTCCTAAATATCAAGAAGCTTAACTTACTCCTTTTATGAGTGCTGCTTTTTCATTGCTCCTCACCAAAAGCTAATGTACATTGATTTAAGAATTTTAAAACACGAAAGCCTAAAACGAAAGACAGACATTAAGCAACATTTTCTTTTTCTCGTCGACTCGAAAAATCCGTGCTATCATTTTGGGATTGAATTCTAATAGCAATTTAAACTTTCAGAATCAAAACAGTTGAAACTTTCTTTTTTTCCGTCTGTCACTTATTTTTTTTGTACTAATATAGTTTGATATCTACCGAGGCATTTGCAACCTACCGTAAATGACAATGCACTCATTATTGCTGGAAAATGCTCAGGAAAAACGATGACCTGTTTACTGTTTTTTTTATTTTATTTTTTATTTTTTTTAAATGACATCAAATCAGTTTTATAAACATTAAAATCACTATTTGATAATTTTTTTTTTTGTATAAAAAATTGTTAATGATTTTTAATCTATAACCAGTTCACTGTTCACTGCCTTTAACCCTAACCTCTAACCCTAACATATTTCATTCTTCCAACAGTTGGCAAATATCATACCATAGTAGAAAATAAATAGTAGATATCATACTATAGTAGAAAATAGACGGTAGATATCTTACTATAGTAGCAACCATTTATTTTAGTTCAAGTTGTCAGATGTTTTTATAAGCTAATTCGAAGAAGAAGCTGATGCTGTCAAAAGTTTGAAATAAGTGAAAATAGCAATATAAGAGGAAGCAGTTTGAAGTTATACTAAATTAAAAGATTTTTTAAAAGTCAATTCACACCCGAGCAAAGTGAAAACGCCACAAAGACGCAAGTGGGGAGGACTACTGGGTGTAAAAGAGAAACAAAAAGACTTTAGAAAGAACCGGAAACCCAATCCTAAACCGGAAACAGGGAATAAAACTCTACTCCTGTTCAAAACATCAGTTTATATTCTGTTGATGGTATTATCCTCACCCTTCAATAGAACTATACTGTTGCCTCAAGTCTCTTCCTCATCCGTGAGGAAATTGTCCAGCTTTCTCTGCCATATAGGAGGATTGATATTATATAGTAGTTCTGCTCTCTACTCCTGTTCAAAAGACCGGGAAGGAGTGTGAACCTGACGATAGGCGATCCTATCTAACCTAATGAGGAAAAAATTAAAAATAAATAATTAGCATAAATTTTAGAGTTTAGGCGGAGACGTTAGAATTATAGAATTGAAGTAGAATTTAGAAGGAACCGAAAGCCCAATCCTAAATCGGAAAGAAGGGGAAAACCTCTACTCCTGTTCAAAAGACTAGGGAGGCGTTTGAACCTGACGATAGGCGAACTAATTTGCTCATATTGATATTACCAATTAGTAGCAATTGATACAGATTATTTCCGAAGTAATTTCCTTAACTCCTGATTAGATGTTAGAATGGGGATTAGGAATTAAGCTAAGGATTAGGCGTTAGGATTAGGGTTGCGGTTAAAGTTTTCGTCCTAATAGTGACTAACGGAAAGGATATAAAATGATGGGTGTTTTTCTGCGAGAAAAAATGCGATGAGTGTTTTTCGAGGCTTCCTATTTTAAAATTATAGACGTTAGTTTTTGTCAGTGAATAACGACAAGTAGCCTAATCTTTTGAGAACTTTCTTCCATTCTTAGTACTCTTTTAATTGTCAAACGAACTAGCTACTATTTCCTTCCTTCAAAATTCCAATCTCAGTTTCTTCTTTCTCTTCGCTTTTTCTATCGCTGACTCTTATCATTTCTTTCTTTCTTTCTTTCTTTGATACAAGCTCTTCTTTCTTTCTTTCTTTCTTTCGTTGCTACTAGCTCTTCCTTCTTTCTTTTTTCTTTCTTTCTTTGCTACTAGTTGTTCTTTCTTTCTTTCTTTCTTTGCTACTAGCTCTTCTTTTTTCTTTCTTTCTTTCTTTCTTTCTTTCTTTAATAGTCTTTCTTTTCTACTGCACCTTCTCTCTCTCTCTCACTCACTCATTTACTTCGTCCGTGTGTATGTACATTTGCCTCCTTTGAAACAACGAAAAGGTCGATTAAAATCCTCCAGACACACACTTCCAGTCATGACGTTTGTCCGACTTCAATTCCTTTGGGCCTACTGCCAGATATTATACTTAAATGTCTGTCTGCATCTAATCATTTTTTTTCAACACGAAATACTGGATGAACCCGGCCATTGCAACTACCATCTGTTTCATTAACAGAGGAAAAAACAAAATAATAATAATAATAATAATAATAATAATAATAATAATGGCAAAATATTTCTTCTCCAGTTAAAATTGCTCTAAGATTTGACGCGAGATTTATACTCCAATGGAATGATAAAGTAAAAAAAATAAGTATAAAAAAAAAAAAAAAGTCACGTGTCTTTTCATTCTTTTGCAATGATTGCAGTATGCAATGTCTTGCTGCTTTCAGACTTTACTTTTTGCATTCTTTTCCTTTTCGTTTTTATATGAAATATCTTTCAGCTTGGGATTTAATCGTTCGAAAACATGCCTATGATACCACTTATGACACACATACACACACATACATGCACACACACACACACACACACACACATATATATATATATATATATATATATATATATATATATATGTTCGTAATGAAACATATGTCTCTATTTATGTATACATTTATCATTCCAGAAAGTATTGCTACTACATTTAGATATTTATTTTTCATATCTATACCTAATATATATATATATATATATATATATAATCACATGATATTAATGTTTATAAGTGCATGTCACTTCCGATATATTTATGAAAAGTATTCTTGGTATGCAAAAAGAAAAGTAAACAAAAAGCCTATATGTGCGATCATATATCTACATGCTTATGGAAAGAAATGAATTTGTTTGCTTTGTCTATACATCCACACACGCGCGTGCGCGTATATATATATATGTATGTGTATATATATATATATATATATATATATATATATATATATATATATTTGGGAGTCGTCGAGGGTTATGCTAGCACGAAGTAACAAGTCATCGTGGCCGAGGGTTTGAGTGTGCCAGCCTTGTTCAGATTGTTGATCCCGCCAGATAATACGCTTTCTCCCAGAAACTGCAACTAAGACAAGATCAGCATAGTTGCAGTATAAACCACGGGTGGGCTGTGTGAGTGTTGAACAAACACAAATGGGCCTAAACAGGCGTCTGAAACAGGGATTGGCAAGCCACCCAGGCATACTCCGATACGAACGGCCAGCCATTATATATATATATATATATAGAGAGAGAGAGAGAAAAAGTTGCAAATTAAAAAAATGATAAAGTTTTATTTTATGAAAGTATTTATTTATTTATATATATATATTTGATATTTCAGATTGTCCTCAATCAGATATAACTGTTTGTTACAAATAAATTAAAATTACTGTTTGAGAGCAAGTAGTGTCCGTCGCGAGACGCGGACGTCACGTGATATGGAAATTAACTATATATATATATATATATATATATATATATATATATATATATATATATATATATATATAATAGAAAATAGAGTTGTAAGGTATGCTATATTTATAGGTTAAAATGCTCATTAGCAGAGATAAATAGTTGCATTTAAATTATATTTATATATTTGTACTTTGATGTATGTAAGTGTATACAGTTTTTTTGTTCAATAATTATATATATATATATATAACACATAAAACTTTCGTCGATAAATATATATATATATAAAAAGCATAAAACTTTTCGTCGATAAAACTTGGTTTTAATTAAGTTTGGGGCATTTTTTCATCATGTATGTACATGTTTTAACGAATCTTTAGAAGTATATATATATATATATATATATATATATATATATATATATATATATATATATAGTTATTATATATATATATATATATATATATAGATAGATAGATAGATAGATAGATAGATAGATATAGATAGATAGATACTTCTAGAGATTCGTTAAAACATGTGCATACATGATGAAAAAAATGCCCAAACTTAATAAAAACCAAGTTTTATCGACGAAAGCTTTATGCTATTACTAAGAGAAAAGACCAAAAGATTTGTTTGATTATTAATTTACTTTTTATTATCCTTTTTAAAACCGTCGAAAGTTTTACTAAAAATCATGTTTCTCTGGTGTGAACGTCGTACCATAAATTAGTATGGCAAATTTTAGCTTTTTTCAATGCAAGACTGAATTGGAAATGTTGAAAAAATTAGACAATTGTCGGATTTTAATATTTTCAGGACTTATTTGCAAATGAATGAAATTCATTTAGAATGTTTCTTTTATAGAAAATCTTTGTAAAAATATTTTTTGTAAATATATATTTTTAATTATTATATTAGATACATTTATTAGATTTTATGAAATTTCGAAAAATTCTTTTTTGTAGCACTTAATGTTTATATTAATTATAAGAACAAGTCCTCGGAGAATTTATATCATCAATTTTTTTTGTAGGGGTCAAATTACAGTTACAGAAAATCTCATAATCGTCAAATAAAAATGCAATAAAACGAATATATTATTTAATTACAAAAGCTTTTAATTGCTTTTATGTGTAAAATATGGACATAAATAATGAATTTTAAGAATTGTTTTCACTTTTTTGAAATGTTAATTCCAATAATTTATAAACATCTTTAAAATTTATAAACATATAATATCTTTTAAAATTCTGTATTAACTTGAAACGGTCAAGTGATATTGTTATTAAAAAATCTATTTACTGATCATAAATGGAAAAGCTTACTACAATCCAATGACCCGTAATATTTTTAAAATAATTTTGAGTTTATTTTGTGTGTATAAACATGACGATTTTTGTAAATACAGATGTCCAAACGCGACATTGTCAGGAAATAAGCGCGCTAACTGTAGAAAAGTTAAAATTTATTGGTAATTTTCTATCATTTACTCAACAAGTGTGTTCGTAAGTTAGATTACAAGGCCAAAGTACCTAAAATTCAATAAAATATACGATTGCTTAAATTTTTAAGATTACTGGGTAGTTCAACAAATTATATATATAAAAAAAAGCGTTCACAATATATTCGTCAAGTAATTGTTACGGATATGTCTCCATAAGAAAACAATTCAAATAAGTCTATCGGGAGGGTTATCAACACTTCATAAAATACCAACATCTATGTTAAAAAATTCTTCTCTGCGATATTTTAAACTAAAAGTAATATTTGTTTCAAACCAGATTAATAAAACTTTAAATCAGCTAATCCTCCTCAAATAATATTTAAGAAAAGTATCTTTTATTTTCGAAAGATTTTTTAATAAAGAGAATTACGTTGTGTTGACATGCATAATAAACTGTAGGTATCGCTTTTCTTTGGTGTTACCTATATATAAAATATCACACATTGAGGACTGGGTGTCATAAATCAGTGTTCGGTGGATAATAGAACTAAGATTTATTCTAGTAATAAATATTTGAATTTAAACTATATTTATATATTTGTATTTTGATGTATTTAAAGTGTATACAGTCTTTTTGCTTATTAATGATATATATATATATATATATATATATATATATATATATATATATATATATATATATATATATATATATTGTTAAATATTACAGACAATAAATGACTATTAAGTCTGATCGTATGTTTGCTTTAATTTCGGGTGAAAATAAAGACAAAAATTGTCCAACATTTGGATATTTTTTTATTAAGTTTGTCCTTGATCTAAGCTTTCGGCTCAGATGAGCCATCTTCAGTGTGGTTATGCAGACATTTAAACAAAGATATTCACCATCGAAGATGTTATTTTGTTATGTTGACATAGAAGATTACTATACGATGATAACGGTCACGGAATAGAAGACGCAGGTCGTAAATTCATAATGCGGTTCTATGACGTTATAACATGTGAGACACCGAAATATCAACAATAGAAGCATATGTCTAGATGCAATGTAATGTGTTGTGACTAGTCTGAAATGTAATTTTGTTGAGTGTAATTTTGTTGTTGCTGATGATGGCTCATGTAAGGCGAAAGCTTAGATCAAGGACCAACTTAATAAAAAATATCCAAATGTTGGTCAATTTTTGTCTTTATTTTCTTTCGAAACTAAAGCCACTATAGGAAGTTTAGAACGGCTCATGATCAGGCATAATAGACATTCATTGTCTGTTATATTTAACAATATATGTTTAAATAATGATCTTAATATATATATATATATATATATATATATAGTTTATGAAAAACTAGGTAATCCGTATGGGTAAACCTAAGGAGGAAGTACAGTTTGATGATCTGCAGTCCTTTTAAAAGGGCTGTGGTGAAATAATTTATTACATGGAACCTTAAAGTGGTCCGTTTTTATTTAAAATATATATATTATACTCTCAAAACAGTACAGTATAAATATCAATATTCAAATTTTAAACGGTCAATTTTCAATCAGAACTTGATGATTGCATTGTGCATGATACTCAGACTTGTGTTATCTGTGGGGAACAAACAAAATCTATATTCATCAATCAGTTAAGTAACAATTTTTTTGCGTGTATATGTGTACGCGCGCGTTCGCGATTGTGTGTGTGTGTGTAGACGGGGAGGAAATATATGGCGAAATCTTATAATAGCGCGGTGCTTACATCTACATGGATCTTATATTCTTACACTATTACTAAAAGTCAAGAAAACCAGGTGATATCGTGAGGTATTTCTGTGGCACAACTGATTTCGTCGTGAAGAATGTTTAAGCTGTGAGACCTGCAAAATCATCATCTGATGGAAACATTATTATATTACTGCTACTATTCAGTAATACAAGACGGTAATATAATTATGTTTCCATCAGATGAAAAACAGCCCAGCCTCCACAATCTGTACTGATATCGGTATTCCTACTAATCCCTTCCTCTTTAGTGCAACGAGGGAGGTGCTGTCGTGAGCAGCTGTTTACCGGGACCGGACAGCTCTCAATATTGTTTTTAGTTGCGCCCTGCCCGAAGACAAAGACACAATCGAGAAATAAAAATG